GGATCTGTAAATGAAGTTATGTCGATACTGGACATGTCCGGACAATTCGAATGGTCACCACATCACTTTTTAACGTCAAATTGGGCAGCAGTGCATACGAAACGTCTGATACATCGTTAGAACACTGCCAAACAACATTCAAGCACTCTGTACGTATAACAACCAAGGGCGTCCTCAGCGTAACAACCTCACTTCACCGTTACAACGATGTGTAAACTCTTCGTTCGTGTTCAACCCCTAGTATTGCTATGAGGAATGTGATACCATGGCGATAGGAATAATTAGATCCATTTACTTTATAAACGCCATTGGCCGTTGAACGTAATCGTGATATTAATTCAGAAATGAAACACCACCCACTGGTTGAATTCCTCAACGAAAGTTCCTAGTTGAGATCAGTTATTAAGTGGAATGCTGTAACAGAATAGCGAGGCAGAGTAGCCCTTCTTTAATCCGATAGTATCTCCCGAACCCAATATGTGTGGTCAAAAATGTGCACGAAGTGTAACGGAAGAAGAGCATAGTGTTATCCAATCAGATATGCACGTCCCATAAATCACCCTCTAGGTTCCGCGTAATTGCTGGGGGAATGCTCCTAGTGTAGTTCGAAACATGCACTCATGGGATGACCGGTTTCATATCACTAAGCTGGTGCTTGTCTGGAGATTTGACAGGAACTTGAAACCGTATTATTGTCTTTTGGGACATCATTACTGTAATGCCCGTGCTCGTTAACACTTATTGAGTTTTGTTTCCACCTCCAGGCTCGCTTTCAATATTGGAAAATTGTAGTCCCACATTCGACAATCGAGAAAATTAGAGCAAATTACCAAACTGGACTGCTTCATCACATGTTAACAGATTCATATTTTATGTGATAAAGGATGTTTCAGTGTTGCAGATATCACTGTCTGCTAAATTAAAGTAGGATTAGGCTCGGCTAATTTGATTCCTTGTCCTTAAAATAGCTACTTCACCTTTTCGCGAACACCTGGTATCATCACTATTTGATAGGGATGCATTGACACATAATCTATGATATAGTCGGAATCGTGCAATCGACTCTGCTTTGAACAGAGATTTCTTATGAAGATGGAAATGTTTTTGTTAACTGAGCAGTTAATGATGTCGCTAATTACACAGAGACAGCGTCTCATTTTCACACATCGCTTAATTTCCAATGTGGAGATTTAATCAGAACATGGACACCAGACCGTGCAGCACAGTCTCCGACTGACGTAGCCTGCACATATGTCTATGTTATTCCGGATTCATTGTATTTCGTAAATTGGTTTCGACGTTGTTTTAGTCCACTGTGGCCACGGTAGGGAGCTCTGTTGTGTGTCCATGTATCAGGATCACAATAAGGTGTCAACCAAATACTACTTGCAAGTTCAGCGTTTGAACGGATAACGTTACCATGACACCGCCTTTCTTACAAAAGACTTTCGTTTGATGGCTCAGAGGTTCGTGTCTAGTTATACAGGCTTTGATGATCATGAGTTCGAATCTCAGATGTGTCATGTGTATGTTTCTTGATCCATTACAACACAATTGCGCCTTGGTTTGCCGAGTGATAAAATGTAACGACCAACACCCCTTGTGCCTCTCACATGAGCTGACAAAAAGATGCAACAGATATATTTTTCAGGGCGGAAATCCAACTCTGACACGACAAACATGTGACAAAAATTGCTCGAGGTAATTAAAGAATGATATTGTCATGCGTAGTACCATGTATACAAGTAAATGACACAGGATCTCTGAACAAATACAACGGAGCACCTTTAGAATACAGTACCACAACTTCTCGTGACGACGATCTCTGCCGTAGGTCACATGTCTCAAAGACAAGCAGCCAGTTTTTGTGAGAATCCGTCGGACGCGAAGTAAATGACACAGGATCTCATAACCAATACAACTTCAGACAGGCCTGGCAAATTGTACCACGTGCATCTGCTTAAAAGATAATACCAATGCTAGTCATCATACCACAGTATGATGCTTCAACAAGGCGTCACCTCAATACAGGATGGTACGATTGAACACTTCCCACTTATCCTGAAAATGGGCTCATAACACCGTAACGCAGCCATAGCTGTTTCCACTACATCGTCGGTGAAGAGGAAATTTCGTACAGATTTTGTCCCCGAGCAGTGGTATAATTGTGTCCAACGGCTCGATGAGAGATATCACCCAGGCCGATAAAAGGATGTGTTCCCATTGTCGTTAAAGCTTTCCATTTCGACAGGTGGTCTCATATCTCGGCTCATATTCAAAAATGTAAAACGTATTTGAATTAACAGATGTTAACAACTATTTCAGACTGATCTGTACTAGAAAATATTATGCTTTATCGTTTCTATTCAATTGTGTATTTCTGAATGTAGGTTTCACAGAGGTCATATTGTTACATAATAAATACCTATATCTCTTTGTTAACGTATGATAGCGTGGTCTATGCTAAGGCAACATTTTAGACAATATTTAGTTCATGTTTTACTGCATTGGCACATCAATAGGTGTAACCATGCATTTGTACGGCCGAAATTTGTAATGAAAAGTATGTCATGTGTGCATTTTAACTTATGGATTGCAGTGATTAATGAACTTGTCATTTCAAAAGATATTGTTCTAATAAGCTCTCTATATACGATATGAAGTTTTATGCTTTCTGGAATAGTGGGAAAAGCATCTATGGTTCCTATAGAAACATCGTTATTCCAGCATCTAGCAGCTCCCTGCCAGTTACTATTAGGAATATCCACATACACAGGATAATAATCGTTAATAGATTCGTTAATCCGGACGCCTTTATTGGATTCGTCCGAATAAACAAGGTTTCACTCTAACTCCCATAACCAATCCCATCAGTTGTAATGATGTTATGGATAGAATTGTCTGAGTCTGCAATATACATTAAGTTCTATAGTAGTCACATCACTGTTTGACTGTGTGTGTGTGGTGTCCGCCATATATAAGCGCAATTGCTATAATATTCCTTCCGGCGACATAGAACCAATCAAGAAGACACACGAGTATTCAAGTGTTACAATGAACCAAGGTTAAAACTTGCTCTAGGGGAATTGTTGTAATCAAGACTAATGCTAGTCAATAGCGGGCTTCATTTCCGCTGATGTACACCGAGGTTGCTGAACCCAAGCTGGGTAGCTGTGTTCGAATCTCATTGGTTGAATGATACTGATTTCTTCAGAGACTTTTGATGAGTAATACAGTTTTTTTGTGCGAGATGTGGATGATACTTTTTATTCCGCAAGAATGAAGAACGGAATAAAGAAAGGATGCGTGGGTGAGTATGGTTTTACGCTGCTTGTTCCAGCAATGTCACGGCGGGGGACACCTGTAAATGGGCTTCCCACATTGTATCCATGTGGGGAGTCGAACCCGGCTCTTCAGTGCGACGTGCCAACGCTTAAACCAGTAGGCCACCCCACCGCCCCAAGAGAGTGAGTAAGTGAGTATGTTTTTACGCCGTTTTTAGCAATATTCCAGCAATGTCACGGCGGGGGACACCAGAAATGGGCTTCACACATTGTACCCATGTCGAAATCGAACCCGGGTCTTCTGCGTGACGTGCGAACGCTTTAACCACTAGGCTACCCGACCGCCCCCGCCCCAAGAAAGGATGACGAAACTTATAGTTAACAAAGTGAGGAAAATAACTTGACAAAGGAAAAGCGAAACAAAGATTGAATTAATATTGAAACTTTGACCTACAAATAATTAAAAAAAACAAGTTCTTCATTGATTTTCAGATATTAACGCATTCCATTACATGTACTTTGGGAAATTTATACAATCGGTGTTAATGTTCAGCTTGGATGAATTGTGATCCTTCGACTCTAACTACGTAAACCAATGGGCGATAATGAGCGACGTGGGACTTAGCTTAATCCCTCATGTTGACTGACAACCCACTGTAACGCAAAACAAGACCTGTAGTCAACGTGATCTGTCGAAAGAATTAACGTGTAACTGTAATCTATATCCATCTGTTTGAGTTGGAACTTGACTCTTATTTTAACAATATCTCGGTCATGTTACGCCGTTTCAGCTTAATGTTGAAGATAAGCCCTTAGGGATATAAGTTGTTGTCTTTTGCCACCTGAAGATTGCTGCAGGACCAACGATCATACTCTGGGTGAATTTTAGACGAAGTCCAAGCCCGAATTATGATTTGTTAAGCTTATACTGCGTAGAAAGGTTTGTCGTCTCAGATACATGGGTCAATTGTGTAGTGGTGTAGTTGATAGGGTGTCTACCCGAGGAACGGAAGGTCGGGGGTTCGATCCCTTGCCGCGTCATACCAAAAGACGTAAAAAGTTAAATATTGTCGTAACCCTGCCTGGCGCTCGGCATTAAAATCATAAAACAAAGACTAGTCTTATACTCTTTCTTAGTGGTATACTCAGCTCACCTCACCTCACCTCACCTCACCTCACCTCACCTCATCTCACCTCAGATAAGTGGGCAAACCTTTTTCCTAGGTTAGAATGAGCTTCATGGATTCATCTCATTCATCACAAGAGCGAATCCAGCATTGAGATGGTGTGTAACGACGCTTTCACGCGAAGTTTTAATTTTATAACGGCGAGACAGCTTAATATTGGAGAAAGGCCCAAAGGGACGCAAGATGTAGACGTTTGTCTCTTTCACTAACCAACCAACTCTGATACGGTGACATCGGTTATATCCCGACTTGTCAGCCTGATGTTAAAGATAAACCCTTAGGGACGCAAGTCGTTGACGTTTGCCACTAGTGATACCCGATCAGTTATTATACTCAGGGATCAGCGGATCAGGCATTGAAGGAACCCTGTGTTGATCAGCAGATCCTGGCACCACATGTCAATTATGGCGTTTCAGACAAATTCGCGTTTCATATTTCAATTAACGGGACATCAATGGCAAATTCAGAGAAGTGAATATATCAAATATTAAGAACAAGTAAGACACAAATCAAGTACAATGTACGTTACCTGTAAATAGTGCACGGCTTTGCACATCTCGTGTCCAAGTGGCCAGTTGCCGGTTACATCAGAAATAACAGTAGGTGGCAGACATATCAAGATAACCAAAAAGTCCGCTAGAGCCAGGTTGACTAGGAACAGGTTCGTCGCAGAGCGCATCCGGTGGTTCCTCCATACTGCAAACCACACCAGCAGGTTCCCTACAATGCCCATAACGAAGACGCATGTTGAAAGTAGTAGGATGATCCAGATGAAAGGCTGGTTCTGCCAAGGCTCTACTTCAGGGTAGTCTTCGTCAGTGGTATTAGGAGAAGCATTGAAGGAACCCTCTGTTGAGTTCGGGTAGATCATTTCAATCACTTCATCGTAATGCTGTTTTCCGTGCATTTTTGGAATGATGTTTTGTTTCGTTCTATTCCACAAACTACAGAATCTCACCGATTTCCAAAATATATGACAAAAAAGCTTTGAAAAATAACTATCTATTTGACTTTTATAACGTGCAACGCTTATCCATCATTGTCTGTTTAACGGACACATATGTAACCATGCCAACAAACTTTGAGAAGAATCGGTCCTTGATAAAACACATAATTGATATAAAAATCCAAAGAAGAACACTCAATTAAGCCTTCACACATACACGTATTTAATACAATACGGTAATAGTCCACGAGGTATTGACTGTTGGGCAGAACACAATCTAATAGAATGAACGCACTGCTCTCGCTGAAGACTACACAGCTAATACGTTCGCTCAATACTGTTCTATGCAGGCCTGCGCTTCATCATACATTACGCCAGCACCCAATGGATACTGTCGCCTTCTCTTGCTTCCTCCGAAGCCGGGATGACTGGCTGGGTCTGTGATTGGTCCAATGAGGATGGGTGAGGCCAAACGAGTGGGACTAAAAGTCGTGATGTCATAATTTACCTTCTGTTACAACATGCTGGTTCGATAGGCTGTCCACAGTTGGTCAATCTATATGGGAGGCTTCTATAACGGATATGTTTTGTTAGTAATTGATTTGATCGGAAAATACGTTGTTTAAAAACTTCCTCCCAATATGTATAGAAAACGTGTAGGTCTTGTTTTGCATAGAACCTGATTTGATCAATAGGTACGTCACGAATGTTTGGTATATGCGTGATGTTGGAGTGTGTTCTAATTTTGTTATAATATATACCGAGGTGGTAAACGAAAGTTTGGCCTGAAATATCTTCTATAATTTATACTTCTGAACAGCTGTGTTCTTTTGTTTGTTACAGTTTGAATGGTTCAGGCTCTGTTCCTTTGGTTTTGGACTTTTTAAGCTGCCGGGTTAATTGTTAGCAGAGAGGACAAACGGAGTGATATGTTACAAATACGTAATAGGTTACAGATGGAGTGTACCATTTGAATATACAATATGTTACAAATACGTAATACGTTACAGATGGAGAGTACCATTTGAATATTCGATATGTTACAAATACGTAACATGTTACAGATGGAATATACCATTTGAATATTTGATATGTAACAAATACGTAATAGATTACAGATGTAGTGTACCATTTGGATATACGATATGTTACAAATACGTAACATGTTACAGATGGAGTGTACCATTTGAATATTCGATATGTTACAAATACGTAATAGATAACAGATGTACTGTACCATTTGGATATACGATATGTTACAAATACGTAACATGTTACAGATGGAGTGTACCATTTGAACATACGATATGTTACAAATACGTAATACGTTACAGATGCAGTGTACCATTTGGATATACGATATGTTACAAATACGTAATAGATTACAGATGGAGAGTACCATTTTAATATTCGATATGTTACCAATACGTAACATGTTACAGATGGAATGTACCATTTGAACATACGATATGTTACAAATACGTAATAGGTTACAGATGGAGTGTACCATTTGAATATACGATATGTTACAAATACGTTATAGGTTACAGATGGAGTGTACCATTTTAATATACGATATGTTACAAATACGTAATACGTTACAGATGGAGTGTACCATTTGAATATACAATATGTTACAAATACGTAATTGGTTACAGATGGAGTGTACCATTTGAACATACGATATGTTACAAAAACGTAATACGCTACAGATGGAGTGTACCATTTGAATATACAATATGTTACAAATACGTAATAGGTTACAGATGAAGTGTACCATTTGAATATACGATATGTTACAAATACGTAACATGTTACAGATGGAGTGTACCATTTGAACATACGATATGTTACAAATACGTAATACGTTACAGATGGAGAGTACCATTTGAACATACGATATGTTACAAATACGTAATGGGTTACAGATGTAGTTTATAATTTGAATATTCGATACGTTACAAATACGTAACATGTTACAGATGGAGTGTACCATTCGAATATTCAATATGTTACAAATACGTCACATGTTATGTTACATCTTAACCTGGATCGATAATCAAGTTATTTTCAAAACTAAACATGATCCTCCTACTACATCCAACAACAAAAACAACCAGATGCCACCACAACACAACTGAACACAACTGAACAACCGAACATGATTTAACACAACCACACCAAATCTCACAATTTCGCAAAGCACAGCACAGAAACAACTGCACGCCACGCCACGCCACGCCACGCCACGCCACGCCACCCCACGCCACGCCACGCCACATCCACTACCAACAGGACACAAATCATTGCATCCCCGCACACCATCAAACTTTGCTTCTGAACATGAAGTACTTATGCGACACCGCCCCGCCCCGCACCGCACCGCACCGCCCCGCACCGCCCCCACCGCCCCGCATCGCCCCGCATCGCCCCGCACCTCACCGCCCCGCCCCGACCCGCCCCGCCCCGCCCCGCCCCGCCCCGCCCCGTTCCGCCCCGTTTCGCATCGCACCGCACCGCACCGCACCGCACCGCACCGCACCGCACCGCACCGCACCGCACCGCACCGCACCGCACCGCGCCGCGCCGCGCCACGACACGCCATGCAACACAACGCCTCATCGCAGGCGTTTTAGCTAGGTAGGATCTATCCACAAAGAAATGGTAACATTGGCTTAACATCTGTTACCGGTAATCTCTGTATACAGCGAGTGTATGAGAGCTATCAGCGACGTTATAGTGGGATTGACATGTACGTCATGTTACATATGAAAACCTCTATGAGCTAAATATAGGACAGCATTCGTCAATACATGTTCATTATATAGTCAATATCAATTAACTTTTACCCAGCTGTTTCAAATGGTGCAGAATGCCTACGGGTGTTCATGTCATGGTAATTATAACCCCTGAAGCTATAATATAGATGTGGTGTGGTGTGGTTCCACCTAAGTAATTAACGTTATGTAGGGTGCAATGATTTGTGGCCTGCTTGGTCTCTCTTTCTGAAAGTGCACGTACATGTATTATTGACGAGTGATTTCGGTAATTCCAAATTGGGTGTGTCGGAGTCGGCGTGCGAGACTGTCGGATTAACAGGTTTAAATAACACGGATTTAATCGGTTCCCATCGTTAGTGTCGGATAAAGCCGATTGTCGGATTAACGAATGTCGGATTAACGAGACTTGACTGTACTACGTGAACAATTTAAAGAGTAGTCGGTTGCGTTACTCAGAATCCCCAAAACACAACAGTTAAATTCGAAGAGTGTCAGCAGCCGTCCATATGGCGCAGTTCAGAGATTCGAACAGTCACAATGCCAGATAATTGGCCAGACATCTGTTCGTCCAAGAAGCGGAAGACCAGGAAATACCGACCCACGACATGTTACTTCATTTGCGTAACAGATTTCTGACGGTGGCGTCTTTGGCACCAATATCAGCGATGAGAGGACTGCATGTTGCAAGTATCTGAGCCTGTCAGCGTCAACGTCAACGTCCTATGTATCGTCTACGCTGGGCGAGAACCGTGCGACGTTTATCTCTATAGCGGCGGGGGTATCATGGTTTTAGGAGCTATTAGTTGGGAACAGACGACCCCTTTGGTCACCACAACGGGGAATCCGGCTGCCCAGAATTCCAAAGATAAAGTCTTGCAGTCGGTGGTCCTCCCTTTGTTACAACAGCAGCGACAGGGGGTCATGTTGCAACGGGACAATGCCAGACTACACGAAAAAGCCAGGGTGTGCACTTTCCTTTCTACTTCAGAGTAGTTCGAATAGGACGTGAATGAAATAACTAAGCCATATCAAGCCTCAAATTCAAGAGACCAAATACGTACCTTTAAAATGTCAAAATGGACTTGTAATATACACGATGTTATTAATGTACGAAGGGGATGATGAAATATAAATGTTATGATCGGTCGTCAGAAGAAGGATAAACTATGAAAAATGACTGCCAGGGATAGGCTGAGTTCGGAAACAAAACCTAACGCTTCAACGCACCCGAAACGTTGCATGTGAACCATGCAATTCCTCCGTTTGTGTAGGTATGGGGTCATTCTATACGTTTTTTGTTCCACAATAACACATTAGCTCTCCGTTCTTGCTTTACTGCAGTATTTGTGATCACACTGGGAATGCGTCGTCTGCCATGTGGTGAACGCATAAGGGCTGTTGGCATACTTCAAACTGGTAGAACGCAGCGAAAAGTAGCCAATATGTTCATGTGCCTCAGCCGACTTTGGAACAGATTTCTGCAAACACATAATGTTAATGATCGGCCCCGCACATGGCGTCCTATGTCAACAACAAACAATGTGTTCAGTTAAGTTAAGATTCAAGCTGGACTTTCTGGATAGGCGTGGACGTGTCATGCGAATGTCAACGTAGGGCAATTTGCAGTAAGGGGGTGGCTCTGTAATGATATGGGGCGGGATTGCCACCGCATATAGTCCATTAAAGGGCCACTGGACAGTTGGACAACATACTGGTAGTACCGTTGGCGCCACTGGACAGCTGGACAACATACTGGTAGTACCGTTCGCGCCACTGGACAGTTGAACAACATACTGGTAGTACCGTTTGCGCCACTGGACAGTTGAACAGCATACTGGTAGTACCTTTTGCGCCACTGGACAGCTGGACAACATACTGGTAGTACCGTTCGCGCCACTGGACAGTTGAACAACATACTGGTAGTACCGTTCGCGCCACTGGACAGTTGAACAACATACTGGTAGTACCTTTTGCCCCACTGGACAGTTGAACAGCATACTGGTAGTACCTTTTGCGCCACTGGACAGTTGAACAACATACTGGTAGTACCTTTTGCGCCACTGGACAGTTGAACAACATACTGGGAGTACCGTTTGCGCCACTGGACAGTTGAACAGCATACTGGTAGTACCGTTTGCGCCACTGGACAGTTGAACAACATACTGGTAGTACCTTTTGCGCAACTGGACAGTTGAACAACATACTGGTAGTACCGTTTGCGCCACTGGACAGTTGAACAGCATACTGGTAGTACCGTTTGCGCCACTGGACAGTTGAACAACATACTGGTAGTACCGTTTGCGCCACTGGACAGTTGAACAACATACTGGTAGTACCGTTTGCGCCACTGGACAGTTGAACAACATACTGGTAGTACGTTTTGCGTCACTGGACAGTTGAACAACATACTGGTAGTACCGTTTGCGCCACTGGACAGTTGAACAGCATACTGGTAGGACCGTTTGCGCCACTGGACAGTTGAACAGCATACTGGTAGTACCGTTTGCGCCACTGGACAGTTGAACAACATACTGGTAGTACCGTTTGCGCCACTGGACAGTTGGACAACATACTGGTAGTACCGTTTGCGCCACTGGACAGTTGAACAAC